CAGGCTCCTTCGCCATGTCCTCAGCAGTCCTTCTGTCCCACTGGTTGGGTTTGGGTTTTCCTGGAGCTGAGAGCAAAGAAGCACAATTGTGGCCACACAAAACTCACACCTCCCCCCTGTCTGGCTGAGTTCAGAGCACTACTTGGAGCCAAATCTCACATTTTTACCACCAAAGAAACACCCAAGGTGCACACCTGTTGTATAAATATATACATATGTGCATATATACATACATACACACACGTGATGCTGCAGCCACACCCTCAGCACAGGGTGGACCTTGCTCTGTGAGCTCACCCAGTCCCGCTCCGGGGAGTCCAATGTGGTGAAAACTAGGGAAAAAACCCAAATCCATGTGTTCTATCACAGCCTCAGTGATGAGCACATAAACCACATCTAAACACCCCATGTGCCAGCTGCACAAATTCCAGTCACTCCAGAACTGCCTCTCCACCAGGTCTCCCTTCTCTCCTATGGAAAGCTGGAGCAGGCAGAGCCATGTTCCAGCCAGAGGAGCTGGGACAAGGGGCAGCTCACGGAATTCAAGTAGACTGTTAATTTTTTGGAATGGTTTGACAAGCAACTGCTCACAGACTGCAAGAGAACACCCAAAGGGCTGGGAGAGGGAGCAGAGAAGACAACGGCACTCGGGAATGAACAGCCAGTTTATATAAGAGCTTCCTCTATACATATACATACATATATATATATATAACCACCAGAAATTCCCAGCATCTATCCTTTTAACACCAAAATGAACTGTGCATGTAACATCGGCATAATGAAAGTTCATCTTCCAGATTTCTGGCATTTGGCTTGTGCAAACATCAGACAGCCAGCTTCCCTCCCGCGGCTTCTCCTTGTAGAGGAAGTGTCTTCTTGGAAGAACACGGGAATTGCAGTCTTGCTGAGTCCCAGACAGTCCCAGTAAGCCTCCAAAGGCAGCTCGTGGAGGGGACCATGGATCTTGTGGGAGCTGAACACTGACAAATTTCCTGCCACCTTGTGAGCTACTGGCTATGATTCTTTTGAGAGATTTTAAGCAGCTGTTGGTGCAATGAGACACTACAAACTAGATGATCTCCACTAGAATACAGAGAAGCAGCACCAGATGCTTAAGTATGTGACGTTTATATCAACCTGACACTATAAACTATAACTGGGGGGTTATGGTTCAGTGCTCCAAGATTGATGCATTTAAACACCATTTGGAATTACTGACATGAGGTGAGGGCTGCAAACTGCCCTGACCACCCTGCCAGACTGACCTGTTAAACATGATGCCAAGATGCAGGTGCACTGGATACAAAAAACCTGCAGCATTAATTTCCTAAATTATCCAGAACTGGCAAAAAGATTGAAGGGCACCAAAGGAAGGGCACAAAGTAGTTGAGAGAAGCAGGTGCCTCTCTCAAGAAGCGTGCATGGTACAAATGCTCTGGAACAGCCCCTCAGAGTGCACCAGTGTTCCCCCACACCACTAAACTGCCTCACAGATGGAACAGGAATAGTTTTTCTGTCAGGCTCCTGCCCTGGTTACACCTGTGTGAGGTGTTTACAGGCTGACAGGAAGGGTTTGGAGAGCTGCATTCCCCTGACCGCAGCCCTGCTGCAGGACTGGGTGTTTCTGTGCCATGCCCAAGCCCTCCTTCTCAGTTCTGCACCTCCAAACCTCCAAGGGGATCCCACTTTAAGAATACTAAGAGTGCTAATATCTAAAGCAGTTTAAAAATATTACAAATCTAAAAAGAAGACTAAAAAGGGAACATGGCTCTAAAACGTCACTGCATGGGACCAGCAAAAACCGACACCCTATGGGACGCCACTGAGGTCTTACATAAATTTATATACAGATAAATATTTAAGAATTTCCTACAAAAATTACTAACAAAATGAGACTGGCATTTAAGGGGTGCAATGCCCCCTCAGTACAGTGCGTTTAGGATGTTCCCATCCCTAGGGAGGATGGGCAGGACAGATCCAGCACCTCCTTTTACAGCAGCTCCACACACCAGGAAGGACAGCTGGCACCTGAGAGCTCTTGGCAGCAGCTTTCCCTCCTCACCTAAGCCAGGAATGGCTCTCCTTGCAACAGAGGGATGAATCAGTATCCTGAACACCAACTCTCCAGATGGGATTCAGCCCAGTGGAGCTACAAGTGCTAAGGGAATCCGTGCTGAAGAGTTTGGAGGAGCTGGATGGAGGCGGCCGAATGACTGGAATGAAGGACTCAGGCAACTTGTACAAATAATATAACTTTAAAGAAACAAATAAATAAATAAAATCCAAGCTCAAGTTTTAATTCTGGCAACACGCTGGACAGAGATGGACAGTGCTCAGGTTTGATTTTGGAGGGAAACATTCTGCACTAAGCGAGGTCAGCCTGCAGCACTGGGACACTGCAGCTTCCCTTGCCCAAGCTCAGAATTCCTGTCTGAGCCTCTCTGCCAGATTTTAAACCATTATTCCCAATAGAACTTTGCATTTACTAGGATTCTACTTGGCCATTATGAAGTGCAACTCGTGTTACAGCCCAGGGTACTCTTGTACCTTCCCTCCAGGAGGGGAAAAGTGGGCATTAATGTACTTATGTGCCATGACACAGTTTTGGCTTTAAAGAAGGAATGTTTAAATCACTTCCTTACATAGTTCAAGAAGAACTTCACTAATAGACAACAATCCTAAACTCAGAGATTAGGCAGTAACATGGGCAAACTTGAAACAGTTTCAAAATACATGAATATTCCTCTAGAATTATGTTTTCCCATCATTCCCTGTAACTGAGATCTCGGAACGGTTTCCCTTGGAGCATCTAACATCACTCTGGCACGTAACAGACTAATTTCCTGTTCACACACCACCCACAGACAGCACTGACAGGAAAGCAGTCTCTCTCCAAACTCATCCCTTGCTAAGCAAACAACTAAAACTGCAAACTTATCCTGGATGTCATCTTTCCCCACAGATAACTGTTCTGCCTCTGGTCCTCATGTGCTGCCCACACTTCAGTTCCCTTGTCAGGAGCCTGAGGAGCGACTCCAGGTGTGTCACACACCTCCCTGGAGCCACAACATCCCACCAGCCTCTCTACTTCTGTGGAAACAGCCCAGAGAAGTTAAGAAATAAAGAGTATTATTCCAAATTAACAGTGACAACCAGTCCCCAGCACTGGGGCAAAGCTGCTCTGCAGCAGAGTAACACCCAACAACCATCTCTGTGTTATCCACTGAGATGAACACAGGGACAGGAATGCAACAGCTCCCAGGGAAGAGCCCCTTCCTCATTCCCTGACTTGCTCTAATCAGCCACGCTCACTTACAAAGTCAAAAAAAACTTTTTTTTTTTTTTTTTCATTAAGAACACAATTTGTAGATACAGGCAATTTTAACCAGTGAATGTGGAGAGGACAAAGCCTGCACATGTTCCCCATATTCCAGAGTGCAATTCTACACCAAGAACAGGCTTCAGGCAAAATCTACAGGGACAGACAAAATTATATTTGGTTTAAGCCTAAAAATGGCTTTTTGTTCCAAGGGGTCAAAGAAAGACATTAACTAAATAAGGACCTCAAGCCAAATCATACACAAATGTCCTCAAGGCCATCCAAGTCAGGAAAAGTTAAAAGTATCTTGCACTAAACAGCCACATGTCAGGTCTGTAAGGACTATGGGCAAAGAAGAAATTACTTAAGGAGTGCGCTGATGAAATTGAGCCATTAATTAAAAGTAAGAGATTTTGGGGGGAATTTGGGGTGCTGGATGTGGTACTAAAATCATGCTGATCTGCAGCAAGCTCCCATGCAGGCAAATATGTGCTTGTACCAACAGCCACAGCAACATCTGGGTGTGCAAACATTCCTCACTGAGCACTGAGACCGTGGGGAGAACATGTTCTCCTATCCAGCACGTTTAACACGGTTTCATGGCAGATTTCACGTGCTCCATCCTTGCTGCTCATGCAAAGACAACAGGAAAATATATTCAGAATAATTCTCTGGGTCCCTGCCCTTTCCTGGTGGTCTTTGTGCAGACCAATGGATCTTTACCCTGCTCCAAAGCATCACCTGGAGCTGGGGAGGGAGCAGCAGACATGGGGGGAAGGTGCCAACAGCCCCTCCACAGAAAGAGGGGAAAAAACAGATCAGGGAGATGGGGGTACAAGGGACAGTAGAGGCATTGTGATATAAAACCATAACAATCAAAATTAACGAGGCCATAATTACCCACTGAAAATGCAGAACCACTGGGTTCTCTGGAGCTGTTCTAGATCTGACTCTGGATCACCTAAATCAGTACTATTGACAATAAAATACACCAGCAATTCAGCAGCTGCCTAAAATGCCTTTCTAACAGTTAAACATCAGTAAACCACAGTTTCTAGAACAGACTTTGGACTTGATTTGGTTTCAAAATAGTACAGGAAACCTTTCAGTGGTTTCCACATAGTTGTTCCGAGGAAAAGAGAAACACTGGTGCAAACAAATCTAAATGCAAGACAATGTGCAAATTATACAATATAAACACAAAGAAAGGTGGTTTGTTCTTAAAAATCCATTTAAGTTCACAAAGAAGTTCATGAGAAAATTAAAGGGTTAGTGTATTATAAAAGCTTTAAAAAAAGACATGTAATACCCCATTTGCCTATTAAATTCTCAAGTTATTAGAACAAATTTTTAAACACCAATTGTTTTTAAACATTTCTGCTGTTGCCTACTGTCTGCATTTTACTCATTTGCTCAGTGAGAGCCAAAAGTTACCAGTTTCACTTTAAGATTCTCATGCATTCAGAAACAAAGCTGCACTATTTGGTCTTTAGCATTACAGGAAAACAACTGAACTCAAACCAAAACAGAATTGTGCTTGGAGTTAAAATCCCACTGCCACCACCACAGGAGCCCATTCCCAGTTGGTTTCGGTTTCATTGTCACTGGAGATCGCCTCATACACAACAAGCTGTTCAATTTACTGTTCAATGATTGGCAACTCTCCCTTTTTATTTTTCAAGGTAGATTTATTTAAGCTGAAAACCAGCATTAGAGAGGACTCCAGCTCTGCAGGACTGGCATTTTTTGGTTCTTGGCTTTGTAAACTTGCTTAGATAATAACGCAGGAATAGAAGGAGGAATGAAAGAACTGGTTTGTTGCACTCAAATGAAAATCCTCAACTTCTAAGGTCTTCGACAGCTCAGCTGTACAGAAGAGCAGTGGCATCTGTGACACTTTTTAAATCTCATTTTTAGGCCAATACTGCTGCTTAAAATGCAGAATGTCTCCATCGCACTGATATTGTGACAACTCAATACGTTACACCACAGACATTTAACATAACTCCATACATGCTACTAAAAAAAAAAAAACCAAAACAAAACAGAAGAAAAACAAAAGGAAACAAATAAGACCGTAGCTAAACTGCTTTAAATACTGCATGCTACAGCACTTCACGTATCGTCGAGATACGACACTGAAAGGTGACAAAAGGCTGAAGGGATTACAAAATATTTTCGGCAGGTTGGAAAGCTGCCTTCTTACTGTGGCAGAATTATTTCCCCTCCCCGTTCTCTACTTCTAATGTTCATGATTCTAGTGTTGAGTTGGCCATGTATTTTTTTTTTTTTATCCATTCTAATGACAGTGTTTCCTTAACTTAATTAAATCCATCAGTGTGGTAGCTGGGGTGAGAGTCAGCTGTGAGCTGGGTTGTCTCTGTGGCTGATGCTGGCTGTATCACAATAGGTGCATCTGAGGCCTCTGAAAAGCGAAGACAAAAGGCTTAGCACACCAAGGAACAAACAGAGCACTGTATGTTTTGGTAAGCACAAGTCTCATCTCCCTACAACCCTCTGGTAACACCATTTTACACTTCTTTAGGAGCATGATATTAATTCCCTGATTTTCAGTGTGCACACAATAGCATTCACCTTAACTCTATATGTGGAATGTTTATTACATTTCCTTCTTCCCGTAAGAGCAGCAGATCCTCACCTACCATTCAGCAGTGCCCATTAAAAATGTCATCAGAGCATACACAAGGCTCTACAGCATTTGAAATGATTGGGTTAATCCTACAGAAATAGTTTCACAAACAGTATTAGAGCTACAAGGGTGGCAGTGCCAGTTCCTCCACACCTGACACAATTAACGCTGCCTTGACACCCCCAACCTTTGGGTACAAGAGCCCCTTTCTGCAATCCCATATGGCTGGTCCATATGTTACCCCAGGATATGGAAGGAACATAATGATGGTCACTGACTGCTCTGAAGCTGATCCCACTAGATTCAATGAAGACCCTCTGGGTGTTCTTAGCAACTTTATTTCTGTTGTCAGCATCACCCGCTTAACTCACGGCACAAACATTCCCTGCTCATCATCCATACCCCAGGACCTGATTTCTCTTCAACCAGCTCAGTGAGCACTCCAGCAGGGACTGATGTTCATCCTAGAGAGCTCACAGTGTTTTCACCTACCCCTTTCATCTGACTGCAACTGTGCCTCCAAGTCCTCTGGAGAGACGTAGAATTCCTGCTCTTCGCCTTCGGGAGGTTTTGGTTTACACTTCCCACAGCAACAATTACAGCAGCAGCACAGACAGCAGCAGCAGTAGCAGCCTGTGATGAGCCCACAGAACACAAACAAGGCCTGCAGAGGACAGAAAATACAGAGATAGTCATAACCTGTGTCTACTATGCCATGACCACAGAGTTTGTAGGACTTGGGTACAGAATCAGAGAGCAAAACCACAGCAGCAGTGCAGAGACAGAACTTAGTAGCTACAGCTTTGTACTTTATCACTGAGAAATACTTCAAATTATGTGCAAAAGTGGCTATGGCTCTTGACATTTTACACTGAGGTGAATACTGCTAGCCTGGTTTGCTTGAGTAATTCCTACAATTTAAGTTAAGTGGACTATTTTGCTGCATCTGGAAGAAGGTACAGGTCTAATAAGCACATCTGTACTAAAACCCAGGGGTACAACAGTTCAGGACAGGCTGTAACTTGCATAAATAACCCTGGAAAAGACTGAGCTGTACCAGCTGATGCACAGGCCACAGTGTACCTACAGCAGGGACTTGGAGCAGCCCAAGGCTGTGGGCATGGCTGAGGATTGATGCCTCCAGTATGTGAGCACAGCAGTTCCATGCAAGCCAGGTCTGCCAGGTGCTTATCACAGTGACAATGGGCTAAATTAAAGTCTTCCTACAGGTCACTGTGCAATTGTTTGAAAACAATAATTTTACAGATAGCAAACCAGCACGGTGATAGAATTATTGTCTTCCTTAGAGGAATCAAGAGATGGAGGCAATGCTGGCAAAGGGTAGAAAAATGGACCCATGCAATGAAATGTAAGGAGATTTTCTGTGAGCCCAAGTTCACAGTCAGGACTCATTCTACAAAATTATTGACTCGAGAATACCCCCCAAATTCTCATCTCTTTTAAATCCACTAGAAGAGTCCAAGCTTCAATTAATAACCCAGGTCTTGCTTATTAGACCTGTATCACTGGAATTTCCTAGAAAAATACTTCTGAACTCAAGATCACAACACAGTCAGAGAAGGTTGATTAACCCGGTGTCAGAAATTCAGCAATTTCCAAAGGTAAAACCAAGAACAGCTATCAAATGGAGCTCTCTAAGAGTTTCCAATACCAATCCAGAATAACTCTGTGCCCTTTTACTTACCTTTGCCCACCAGCTGGACAGCACGAAGTATGTGTTCACATTTTCTTCACCAAACTGCTCTGCTACATAGAGCCCCAGAGACCCATACTTATCGTAAATGTTCCGCTTTGTGGCATCAGTCAATATTGCGTGGGCATTATTGATCTCTTTAAATTTTTCTGCTGCCTCTGGATTATCAGGGTTTTTATCAGGATGATATTTCAATGCCAGTTTCCTGTGGAAAGAAAAAAGAGAATAAAACCTGGGGTTTGGGTTCCCGTTTTTTGATTTATTTTTTTTTCTAATTCCGTAGCCTGCCACTCAAGGGAGACTTTCAAGTTCCAACTGTTTTCCTTCATCTGTGATTCAACCTCCCTGATGATTCTTCCTTAGATGATAATAAAAGGCTACAGCAGTATCTAGCTTAGTTCACAGAATTGGCTACAGACTGTTGGATTTGACCCTCAGAAATCCACTGGAAAAAAATAAGAGACATTGAATAAAAATAGGCTTGGGTTTTTTTATCCTCAGCTCCAGCAATTTCCACCAGTTAGTTTTGCTCCTGCTACAGCAAAGACACACCACAAGTCTAAGGTATAGCACCAAAGAGTACATAAAAGCAAGTTGCCACAGCTGCTTGAAGAGTGTCTGAACTGCTGCTTCTGCAGTGTCTGAACACAAAAATAGAACAGACGATCACTTGTGGTTAATTCACCAATTCCTGTGCAGGAACAAAGTACTTTTCAGTTCAAGCTTTGCTAGAATAGAAAATAATTCTGAGTTTCAAGATATCAGGAAATCACAACGTACCTCCCCTAATCAGGCCAGATCTCTTACAACTGACAAAAAAAATTAGATAAAGCATTGATAAATGTGCTAGTTCTCACATGGTCCAGGCTATTTAGAGACATCAGTAGAAATAACTGGCTAAACACCTCCTTATGAAGAGAAAATACGTGCTCCCAAGTAGAAAAATGACACAGAGACACATGCTGGCAGTTCTCCTCCACCACAAAAGGTATTTGTCCTCCTACAGAAAATGACCAGAAAGTCACGTACACAAGAAAGACAGGAGAAGTCTGCAGACAATTACATGTCAGCTTTGCAGTGGGGAAATGTTTCGACAAACATAAAACAAAGATGTCTGCAATCACTTGGATGTGCCTGCAAGTATCTCATAGCATTTAAAAACCATGCCCTTGGGACACTCCAGTGTGCATGATGCTGCTCCAGTAAATCATGTCCATAGCTGCCACTTGTGCCCCAGCCTCAGTGAGAGCTGAAATAATCACAGGGAAGTTTTAAAATCCTGGAAAGGGCTTAGTCAGGCTGCAATAAATTAAATATTTTTATTTCCCACTACCTACATGTACACAAACCTCACAGCCCACAGGCCAGCAAAGGATGTTCAGACTGAACATGATAAAGGAGCAGCAGAGGAAACAAGAATGTTCAGGTAAGTGTGAAACAGCTACATTTCAGCCCAGGATCTTGTGGGGTTGTTCCTCCAAAGGAAAAACTCACAGTATTTCCCCCAGGAAAGTAATTACTTATTATAATATAGTATTTAGTATAATTTAGTATTACTTTCCAGTTGTTTGAAGATAAACTATTCAAACATCCACTTAAAGCTTTTAGGAAGAAAAAGCTAATTTTTGAGAATCTGTGGACCTGGTTTATTCCTTGACTTCACATGTAGTTGCCATCAGTATGTAACTTTGGAAAGGAAGAAGCTTTGGTAAAAGTTAAAGACCATAGGAAAACAATTTTGACAATGAGTATCTTCATGGAAAGATGATGCTGACCCCTAGTGTAATCCAAACACATTGCTACTGGTCACAGCAGCAGTTGCCTTTAAGCAGATTTATGGAGAATGTGGAAAGGAAGATGTTACAAGGCTGGTTTTGTAGTTTTTATTTGGTTAGTATGAAGTCATTTCATGTGTCAAACTCTTAAGGAAAAAGATACAGAAAAAAAAACGGCTTTTAAACTAACAATTCCACAAAGAGTAAGAAATATTGACCAGAATTCCAGGAAAAAGTAATCATTGGTGCTCTGTTTTCATCCTTACTTGTATCTTTAATCTCTGCCTGTGCCAAAAGTGGAAATGATGGACAGCAGGGTAGTTCTGCACATCTCTGCTACCCCTAAGACAGACACAAGGCTACATAACAGGAAGAGTTTAACTCAGCACATTCTTAAAATTCTGCTCAAATTTAGGCAAGGACCTTTCAGAATGACACTCTGAATTTGAGAATTTAACTTACTAGATGTAAGATGGAAAAATTGCAAGCCTAGGCATGTTTTCACACCCCATTTTGCAAGAAGCAACCACCTTTTCACCTGTTTTTCCCAAATATTTTTCTTGCAAAAGGTCTAAATAAACCAACTGAGGCTCCTTCATAAATAGACCATTTGCTGAACACTGAATTAAAGCCATTTGTGCTACTGGGACAGGCATAAAACTCGAAGCTTTACCTGTAAGATTTTTTGATATCATCTGAAGTGGCATTTTTGTCCAGCCCCAGCACGTGGTATAATGACTCCCCAGAGGTAGAGAGGGAGCGTTGCCTCTGGTCTGCCATCTTGAGCTAACCTGAGGAGAGAACTGGCCCCTGCAAAAAAATAAAGATTAAGAAATGCTTAAGTAAAGGAAAAAACAAACATCTTTAAGCAAATCATCCTCAAAAACAGAGTACACGTCAAGATTCAGCTTTTTTAAAATGTGCTTTGAAAAGGTTGTTTACACATGTGGAAGGTAGAAAGTTATAAAATTCAGTGAATTATCAGTGAAAACAACTATTATATTGTGCCAACCATTGTTGGCACAACACCAGTCACCCCGAATCCCCACTGTATACACTCAACTCTGCTTTCCAAAAACCCCAAATCAAGAGCTGAGGTGCAGCTATAGCTGTGTACTGCATAACACATCTCTCAAGTCACTTCATCCCCTTTCTTAGTCTTAATATAATTTATTTGTGATAATACCTATAAAAACAACACAGCAACAGAGAAGTTGCTGTTGAGGCTGCGTTTTTGCACCACACTGGCATAGGAGTAACTGACTTGATTTGTATTTTTTATTTCAGAAATTCCATTAAAAAAAAAACAAAAAAAACCAACCTTCCCCACATCTCCCAAATCCCAGTCCTCCATCTTATCACCAATACCAGGTCAAACAGAATCTTTAGAAAAATCCAGTGTGACCAAGCTTGTGCATTCCACAAGGAAAGAGGGAATGTCTGTCCAGAGAGCAGATCCCCTCTCTCATAATTTAAAGTTGTGAATCCGACATTTAACATGCATTCTAGTTAAAATCATGCTACTTGAACATGGATTAACCTCCTGCTCCACATCCAAATGTGACAGACCCCAGGGGTGTCCCCTGTGCCATGCCAGGACCAGATCTGGTTCTGCCCTCTCCCATCCTGAGGAGATCAGCTTTACTGTTCTTTAGCTGCAGAACTGCAGCCAGGATGAGCATCCAAGAAAAGACTATTGGCTATTTTTGGATTATGTCATTACAATTAGCCCACACCAGATTAAGCAGCCTTTGAAAAAGATTTTTAAAGCACCAGACTTTTCTAATTTAACCCTATGTCTTATATAACAAATTAATAACCTCAGCTTTCACAAGGCTGGCTGAAAGCAACGCCCTCAGCCCTCACCCCCTACAGGGCCTGGGTGGAGCTGTGACCACACCTCTGCTTCTCCCAGCACAAGGGAGACCAAGTCACAAGGATGTGACACACATCACTATTGTCTTGTTCAGCTCAGACCCTGCTGTTGATTCTCTTCCTCACTTGGCCTCTCTGACTTTCAACACTGGGCACCAGGTCCTGTTGTTTTAACTGGAATACACCAGCTCAACAAAACTCTCATCTCCTCCAAGAAGCCTTTGGCAATTCTACCCAGATTAATTTAAAGCTTCCTATAGGATGCTATAAATTATTACTGTTAATAATAAATAATCTAAACTCTAATTCTTTGGCTAAAAATTCAAACTACACCCCAAATCTGGAAGGTGAATGTGTGGGTAGGGCGAGAAAATATTTTCTTTTCAAGGACACTGTTCAGTACCAAAAGTTTTCTGTATGGGAAGAAAATTACTGAGTGCTGCAAGACACAACACAAACAACTCACTTATTTGGGCATAATCTAATTCAGGGAAAGAAAAACCATATTTCAGTAAAGAACCCCTCCAGCCAGGCACACAGCAGACACAACCCTCTGAGCCTTTCCCAGAGGCAGCCTCCCAGCCCCCTCTACCCTGAAGCAGAGGTCAGAGACTGATGATCCTGACCTGTCTCTGATAATCTACCTAATCACACCAGCCTGCTCCCTTGCTTCCCTGGCTCCCTGCTCTGTACCCATCATCACTTCCTCCCACCCTCCCAGGAACCTCCCTGCAGCTCCAGCACACCAGTCCCTGCCAGCAGCTCCCTGCCAAGGAGTGTCTGTCACTACTGCTCTTGGACGGGGACCTGAGAAGTTAGGAGGGGGGAAAAAATGCATCCTGATTGGAATTTTACATGTTGATTTAGCCCTTCTGAAGAAGATACTGCTTGAAACAGGAGCTTCCAGGGCATTATGGACATTTTTGCTAAAAGCTGCAGCTCTATTTAAGCATAACAAGCTTCCTGTAACATCAATCCAACGTGGCCTTGGTGACAGATGCTGCAGATCACAGCCATACACCATGTTCTGCTTAACAAAATCTGCACTGTTAAATTAGGGCCAATTTGTTTAATAAAAATGAATTCAGTTTGACCCAGGCAGTATCTATCAGTCTGCAGGCACAGGGATACAATTCCACACTGCTGCATCCTTAATTGCTTCCATCGGAACAGTGCTGGGGATCCACAGCTTGGTGTAATGGGATGTTAGCATTTATTTCTCCAAACTGGTATGAAATGGATATATTGGCCTTGGCAGAAGAGTGGAGGACAAGGCAGTGATGGGAATTCATCTGGTAAGCTTTTTACTTAAAGGAACAGAGGAGTATTATTACTAGGAATGCAACCTTTGGCTTTTTAAATATGAAACAGAGAGTAAAGGTGCAAGTTATTTAAGTTCTGAGTTTTCCTGAACTCGGGTATCATTCCTCCTGCTGTTTTCACACGTGGCTCTAATTCACAATCCTGAAAGCTGCCCTGTATTTTTAAAAACTGTTGTGTTCAGCAGCAACAAGCCATCTGCTCCCTTTTCTAACCAAGCAGGATGCCCTGAAGAGGTTTCTCTGGGAAGGCTCTGGAGAAAGGTAATCTCCTGGATTAACCAGCAGAGTGTTTAACCATCTGAGTACCACAATATCCTGCCTCAGTCAGCTCTATCACAACAGGTAATTTCCTTCAGCAGCACCTTGCTGAAAAGACTCAGATTAAACCTGGCAGGTTATTTATGGAAGTCAGCCTTAATGTTCTAAATACATCCATGGAAATTTCAACCTTAGAGACACTAATTTGCTTTTCAGCTTCCCAAAAGAATCCCATCAAATTTCATTAAACTGGTGATACCTTAGTTTCAGCCAGGTCTGATGACCCTTTTGGAAGTTGTATTTAACTCATTAAAATGGCAAAGTATTATTACAGCCAAGGAAAAAAAAAAATCACTAGCTCTCTGCCAGTTTAGGGAATTAAATACTCACAGAACATCCCAAAGAATGTCTGCACTGAAAAGGGTGACAGCAGATCTGGTGGCCAGAAGCAGGGAAGGAGGAATTAAACTCCACCTGATCTGCTGCAAGATGCTGCAAAGAATTTCAGTGAAGTTGGGAGTGAGAGGGATAAATTTCTCCAAGAAAACATGCTGAGCTGTGTGGCAGAATGGAGGGTGGAAGTACTGGCACTGCTCACATAAATAGCAGGTGCTTGGGACAACACTGAACCACCACTGCTGGATCTAGGAAGGGCTGGCTACCTTGAAATAAAGGGATGGAAAGCTAATTCCATGGACAATACCCACAACATGTCATTAGCCTCTGGAAGCAGACTAACAGCAGTACTTCTCATCTCACTCCAAGGCTGAAGCATTGAGTATTTATTCAAGAACAAACCTCTGAAAACTGTAATCCTCAACTATCACTTTTCCCATCTCCCCTGTGTAAATCACACAGCTACTGCTGTCTCTTGAATTTCCTTGCTGGAGGAAAGACAGCTCTGGGAAGGAGTTTTGGCTGTTCAGCTCCACTGGTCAAAATCAAAAGGGGCACAGGACACAAAAAAAGGTTAGCTTTAAAGATATTACTACAGTAGGATGCTGGGGCACAATCTCCAGAATTCTAATTTTCTCAATGTCTGTATACTCATCAGTTTAAGTTCCTAAAAATTAAAAAAAAAATAATAAAATCACTCCCTGAATGCACGTGCCATCACACAGACCTGCACACAGGTGCTGTCCACAGCATTACAGTGAACTGTCTACACACAGTGTGGGGAATCTGGATGGGAACAGCTGTTCCAGAAAGTGAAATCCCACTGTAAGGGAGAAAATCCACCTCCTCCTGACACAGGATAATGAGAGTGGATATCCTCCACTATCACAGGATAATGGGAGGTTATTAACCTTAATGGACATTGTTTGCAAAGGAGTTTGTTTAAAACTAGTACACAACATCCTCCCAGTCTTCCAAAATATCACCAGTAACACAGTGAGAACAGAGGAATCCCCAAAAGGGAAAATAAGAACCAGAAGGAATGACCCAGACAGACTCAGGGAAGTGCTGGGAGTGCTGGACAGGAGGAGGCTGCTGCTGTCCCAGCTCAGCCCAGCCCAGCACATGTGTGTAATACAAACTATCAGGAATGCTGTCAAACCCTCTACAATTACAGTTTTAAGAGCATATTAGAAGATGATTAAAGAGTCCAGCTTGGAAATGATGTTTTGCCAACTCTTACAAAAATAATGTCTAGTTGAAACTCTATTATAGGACTTTAGGAAGCACTCAAGTATTTTAGGGAAGATTTGGATTCCACAAAGCATTGCTGCTAAGTGGTAAAATATAATGTTTGTTAAAGCTAAGATTTCAGCTTTGTAAAGATTTCCAGTGCAGAAAATTAACTACAGGTGTTCATCTAAAACTGAATTAATCTATCCCAACCAGTATTTATCAGTAAAAGTCTAAATAAAAACACCAAGCCTGAAAGCACTTCAGTAAATATTGATTTGTCACAGAAAGGAAAAAGCACCACTGGCCTCCACATCCTGTCCATCTGTCTCAGAGTTACTTAGAGTTGTCCTCACAGTCTGGTATTTTTCAAGGAAGAAAAAAAAACACAAAACATTTTTAAAGGGGAGATGAAAGAAGCATGCTCAAGATTGTGCTACCACGAAAAATAGGAGGTGTTTTAGCCTTGGCTTCCTGAGGTAGTAAGATTTTTATAGGAAACTTTGTCTCCTCAGCAATATTCTGCATTTAAATGAGAAGCTACAAGAAATTAAAATAATCCAGAACTCACCTGGTGTCTATTTCGAATATTCTAAGGTAAGTGATAACAACCTTCACACACTTCTAAAACTGATTCTCCTAAAGACAAAACAAAAGCAAATTAGTTGTTTACCAGTTCTGAAGTTAAAGATTCATTGATAAATTATCATCATATTATTGGACAGTAAAAACACAGAAGTGTTTTATAAATATTTGTACCACAAGTACAAAGTAAGTCCACACAATGTAAATACTTGTCTTTAGAATTAATAAACTGTCAAAATAAATCACAAATATTTAAAAACACATAGTCAAGGCCTCTATGGTTTGAACCAGAGATTCAGTTTCTTTTTCCTCAACTTTTATTATGGGAAAGACACGCACCTACCCAGTTGCATGGAAACTCTAATAACCATTACCTGTTCGAGACTTTGGACTTTTTCAACTCAGACCTTTGTGAATATATGTACTGAGAACACGATAAGCATGTTTTTCAAGTCGTGGTAATCTCTTGTGCTGTTAGAGACTGCAAAGCAGCTTAGCTAACGCAGCAGACCCCAAGCTCTGGCACCAGAGCAGCAGGCACAGCCTGCTCTGGGGAGCAACACCAGCTCCTCTTGCCAGGACAGATTTCCATCAAGAAAACTGTGGTGTCATCCAGTTAGCATTCCCTCATCCTGAAGCAGATCACCCAAAGGAAAAAAAGTCTCATTCTGGTGAACAAGGAAGGAGAGAACCTGAGATGACCCAGCAGCACACACTCGGTCTTTCAGCAGTCAAGGCTCCAGATCAGCCATCACATGGAAGGAACAGAGCAAAGGGGCAAGAGCAGCCTAGGAAATGCTACATGGTGCTATGGAAAAAGTCAAGGAAAATCACTGCAACAGATTAAAATACCTTTCTGATTAAGCAGGTACAGGACACATCTAACCCACATTACCAATCACAAAGTCACTTATGCATTAGATGACTGAACAATGAACCTCGTGAGCGGAACTTCAGAGCAGCTGTTACCTGGCAAGTCATCGCTTAATTGTCATACAAACCCTTTCAACAGCTTTCAGAGAACAAGCTCTGAATGCACTTGAGAAATAAACTCCCCATTGAATTAATAATTAGGCCTTTCATGGGCTGGAAGATTCCAGCATGGCAAACAGAGATGTTGGGAATACACCCAGGGAGCTGCTGGCATTGCTGCTCACAGCAGTTGCTTGGTGCCATCTGTAAGAAGCAGCTTGATCCAGCAACACATCCCTAAGTGGGTATGAATGAACCAACCAACAACTCAGTAATCAGCTTATTGTTAATAGATCTGTTTAGTTCCTTTGATAGGAACCAGCAAAGGACTTTTCCTGAATAATGAAAGGCAGGGAGTTAAACTTTCCCACTCAGAGCCTGTGCAATACTAGAGGGTGGACTAATTCCCCAGGGAAAAACGTCCTATTTTGTGAAGCTATAGAAGCTCCCATGTTCTCTGCCCACAGCTTTCTTCATATAAAAGTAATCCACAGCAAGAACATTCTTTAAGCATTTACAGAAAGCTGCAGATTGTTAATGGTGTTTGCAACCAGAATTATGGCTTCCTACCCAGATGAAGACCACCTTTAATTGTGCCACTGATTCTGTTTCAGACAGCAAGCCCAGATCCCAGTATGTTGACAGTCAAACTGTATCAAATTTATGGAAATAATGTGACTAGAACTGGAGAAAAAAAGCAAAGTCCAAATGTAATTTGGAGATAAATGTACTTTGAAAAAAATAGCTATCCTGCTAAGGTCAGAATTTGGCATATAATGATGCAAATATCATACACTGATGTGTGGATAGAAGGCTCAAATACAAGATCCTGGCCCAGGCCTCACTAAAACTCCATCAGCAGAAAAGTTAGTATTTTTTACAGTGCTTATATATATATAATAACCAGCCATGTAGAGACTCAAAATATATAGTGAAGTGTTGTCTTAATCTGAATGCAAGAAGCAATATTTCTTTCAGTCTCACAGCTATGCCAATACCAAGTTTCATTAAGAGCAGGAAGCCTGATTTACAGCTGAAAATAACCAAACAAGACAAAAATAAATTCCCAAGGAAACTGCTTCTTGTAAAAACCAAAGTATATGAGAACCCCATGCCAGCTACTTCACATCCTCCCTTCCCCAGTGCATCCTCCCTGCCAGCACTGAGCCAGCCCAGCACCTCCCAGGGGTTTGCTCCCTCAGTTTCTGCTGCAACTGGCAATTCCAATTTAGTGACTCAGGAATGTTTTGATCTCCCCATCCAATCCCATTATTCAGCAGGCCAGATCCACTGACCCAGAGCTCTACATAATACCCTGCTTGTAATTACTTGTAAATATCCCCCCTCCTTATTACATGATATTCACAATCCAAATAAAAGCAGAGAAGATAAAAGGACAGATGCTGGAAAAGGAATGAGAGAACTCAAAATCCACATCAGTGCATGACATCCTGTTCAACAACACACACAAGAAAGAAAGAAGTCTGTGAGGAATATAACTGTTTAAGAATCAGAAAATAGAGAAATGAGTATGAAAATTAGAAGAAAAGAAGATTAAAGAATTATAAAGATAAAAACAAGAAGCTACACAAATGCAAACTGAATTCAGCAACACATTAAAACTGGTAAGTTTTGTAACACAAAGGAAGAAATTCACTTGGGGAGGTTGCATGCTCTTCCAACCATTTTGCTCATAGCAAAACCAGCTCTTCCAGCCTTATTTCTCCTGCAAATTTGAATCCAATTTATATACTGTTGTAGCTTCCCCATATACTGGAACCATAAACAGGCTCAGCACCATTTCCTTCTCTAACCAAGAGACAGATACTGCCTTCTTCCAGAAATCAGACATGTTCTCAGCTCTACTGGACAAAAAGCATATGTATTTCTTCAGAACTCAAACCTCCTCTGAGAGATGGAGGAGAACCCTTTTTACAGAATAATTCTACTGGTAGAATTGTCCTCATCCTGCTCCTTATGTTGCTACCAGAAAGGGGGAATTATCTAAGCATACGTTGCTCCATAATCCATCTTCATCATGTACAGGATAGCTTTATCAGGGTTAGCAAGTATTTAAAGAAACAAGGTTGCAGTTCAGGCAAATAAAATAAAGTAAGTCAATATACAAGATAGAAACTCCCAAGTCTTTATTTTCACACCCCTTCTTGATTACATGACTTGCTAAATAAATCATTACTGGAAAAACAATGTGAAAAAGGTGAAGAGACAGCAATCTGGCTAGCAAGTGCCTGAAGAAGACCACTACTATTTTAAAGCACACTTCTTCGCCCCATGCCTGTCTTGAAATAAAGATTTTTAACCTATTAATTGGAGCACTAACATTTTCCTATTTCATTAAAGCATCCAAGAGTGTTTTGGCATTGATATTTTTTTATATCACAGCACAAAAGCCTTTCCGCTGGATTTTGCTATTCAGTTTGTGACCTTTTGATAAAGATCATGTGAGAGATCTCATATCCATAAAAACATTCTGCTTTAACATATAAGCCCTGATGGAAAGCTGAGTATCCAGAGAATTAATGTAAATGCACACATCTCCCAGAAAAAAAGAACTTTACTGTGTCAAAATCCACCTGCCTTGGGAACAGAGGACAGGTCTCCTACACTGAAAGACTGTGATACTAAAAAATTCATTACATTCTCTTGATTTCTTTTTAAAAAACATAAACACACAGCTTTTAAATAATTGAAATCTGGAACAATACCATTTTTCTGCTAAATTCAAGTCTAAACGAAGGTTAACATCCACCACAGCTGACTGCAAGGGAGGTTACACTGAAACTTGTGACAAACTTAACTACAGCGACAGTGTTGTTTCTCTAATGAGCTTAGCAGATTAAAATGTAACCATTTAAGTCTGATTGACCAACCTGTTATAAAGACTTGTGACCTTGTACCCTACACAAGAGTAAGATTCAAACCTACTGGTGGTTTTCCACATTAGGGAAGAAAATATGAAGTATTGGATTTGCATTTTCTATCCTCTCTCCTCAATTAAAATAATTACTTTAAAAACCTGGGAGGGGGGGTTAGTGGATTCCCTACTTAGGATTTCATTGCTCCTATTTAATCTTTCAGCAATATTGAATTATTGTTTATGACATCACAGTACTTTATGTGCAGAGTGCAAGTATCACAAACTGAACATGGCTATAAAAAAAAAACACATCTGCTTACTCAGTCAGTTAAAAATTCAGCAGCTCTGTTTGCTTTGTTCATTATTACTCTTAATTTTTCCTCCCTATAAATAGTTTTTGAATCACTGTGACTACTCACTGCAAGTTCACTAGAACAAATCATCCTACCCACAACATTCCCTGCTGTGGGTGGAGTGGTGCTGATGCCACTTCTTCTGGAGAAGAAGTACCTTAAACTTCTTCAAAGACATAAAGCCTCATTTCTGCTAAGTGGGTTGTATAAACTACATCAATAAAAAAACCCTCATATTGTTAATGATTATATCAATATAGCCTAACCTTTAAAATATAAAAGAACACTTGGAACAGAGGGGTCTACTCATATAAAAATGAGATTTATGCTATTATGTCACACCTGTAGGTAAGACAACTAAAGCCTTTTAAATAGGAATAAAAGAAGAAAAGAAGTCTATTGTCTTGTGTAAGAAAAGGTTGAGAAAATAATGTCAAAACATGAATCCCTTGATAGACTGTTACAAAAAGAGAATTTAAGGGGAGAACATCGATCCAAGCAGCCCCTTTTTACAGTACAGGAGGTTTTTGCTTGGTCAAAAAGAAGGAACAAAGTAAGGTTACAAAGTACAGCAAAAAAGCCAAATAAGCAGTTTGAGACACAAAAGGAACAGAAAGGAACACATCTTCCAAATTGCAACTTGGTTGGCAAAGGGCAAGAAAAAGATTTATCCAGAATTAACTTGGAAGGGCAGGGGAAGGTGGTTCCTCTCTGTGCTCACCAACAGCAGTAGGCATGGAGGGGAAAAAAGTTCATTCCTATTTTCTTTTCCAGAGGCAGATGAAAAGTTAAATGAGGGTTTCCCCATACACACAGTTTAAATAATATACAAGTATGGTCTTACAAACTGCAAAACAGATACCAAAATTATTGTACATCTAATTTGGTGTTAGAACTGTTTTGTCGTCAAATAAATACTATAAACACTCTTGGCAGTTTCAATCATGAGCAGTTTTTGCTAAAGACTTTGAAATTAATACTTTATTTTAATGAGTAAAAAAGCAAAAACGAAGACCATTTTATAGCAACAACTGAAGGCAATACTGGTATCTTCAGCCTGATCTAAAATGATCCACTCTGGTGTTCCCCTTTTGAGAAACTTCACCTATTTTCAGATTATTAATCTCTGCTCTTTAATGGTTGTCTCACACCAAGCACATAAATCTTCCACTTAAAAAGTTCTGCATAAAAAGGCAAAATAATCAGAATTGAACAGCAGAACTTACAAAGAATTTATATTTCCCAGAAACAACCACCCAGCCAGCTCAGGAACAGAAAAGCCAAAATGCCTTTATATGATTACCAGGAACCCAACGTCACTGCCTCTGTCAGAGCCTATTTCACAGGATACTAGGTTTTGTTCTAAAAATTAAGCTTATTTATTTAATAATACAGACAGAAAGTAAACTCCCCTGCCCCCCACTTTTACCTCTGGCATCCAATCAGGTCCTCCAGCCTAAGGTGATGCATAATTATTCAAGCAGCATATGTATCCACTCAGTTAAGTTCCAAAGGCTTTAGTTCCAGAGATTATTTCTTCTGCAAAGTTAAAAAATTAAGTATATCTAAAGATTCTCTCTTCTCCTAATTGCTCAGCTGGATTTCCCCAGTTTTTGTGGAAGGTGGGGAGGAGACTATTTGATTATTTCACTTCCTCACAGAAACTGAGCAATTTATGTTGTAAAAGATATTTTAGGCTTGAAAAAACAACCAAAATAAAAACAAAACAAATAAAACATTACCAGGAGCAAGGGGTGCTCTGATTAGAAGTGGGGCACAAGCTGTAGGTAAAACCCCTCTGACCACTGCAAGGGGTAAGCACAAACCCAAACAAATCAATACCCCCAGAGACTATCTCCAGGATATATATATATATAGATATAGATACAGATATATAGAAACAGATTATATAGATACAGATATATAGATATAGATATAGATAGATATATGTGTCATGGAAGGCATTCTTCACTTTATGCCACAGATTTCTCCCCTCTGGGTGGTGTCAGATGTTACAGAAAATGGTCTAAAAACCATGATGAAATGAGTTTCATACCTGCTCCATTCAAATCCCCAGCACATGGACATTCAGAAGCATGAAAGGAGCTAAAACCACAGAATTCCACAATAAAATCTGAACTGACCAGCACAGTTTGTATTACTCAAAATTTCTACTTGTTGTTTTGGCAGGAAAATACAACCAAGTTCCTTTAGAAGGCTGGGTGATGCCAGAGGTGATGCCTTCACTGCAAATATTTCAGTTTCTTCTCAGGTGAGTTAAACCAGAGCCCATGTCCAGGGACAAACACACAGTAAATCACAGGAGAAAGCACCTTGGGGTAGAGAATACATTTATTCCCTAGTGATCCCAAATTCATCCCTATGAATACAACGCTAATGTCACAATATTCTCATGATATCCCCAGAATGACACCCAGTATACCCCCTGCATGCCGGAGTCAGCTCTTTCAGCTACAAATACCCAAACAAATCACAGGGCTGGATTAAAAACAGCTTTAATTTAAACTGGCATTCTCTTACAGGAGACAAACTCTTTGGTATTTTCTAACCATACAGTGTGGTTTCACCAACAAAAAGATTTATTTTATACTACTCCCCCACAAACCATAACGATATTTATTTCCCCTGTTCTCTCACTCTGCATACATTTAATCTGCAGACTGCCTGATGAAGGATGTCCTCAGTTCCACCACTCAGTCTAGCAACAGTATTTCATGGCTGCTTAAAAAGAAAAAAACAAAGCCAGTCCATAATTTAGAAATAATAAGGCAACAAAGAATGTATTTGTCCTACTGATTTTCCCACTAACTCACTGATGATTTAATAAGAAAAGACACTGCTTGAATTTCAGACCATAGACTTAGCCTGAAAACCTGACACTTCAGGAAAAAACATGTTCAGATTTTATTTGTAACTGAGTTTTCTAACACTATAATTGGGTAAGAATTAGAACACATACAGATTTTATACAATAGGTTTTCAGACAGGAGTCACATTTCAGAGGGCTTAGAACCAAAAGGCCACTATTATACAGGGGCATCATTTAATCACTGCCATTCCCAAGGCCTTTCAGTTTCAGCACAAAGTAGGGAATTATCACATTTAGTCTTTTCCACCTAAATAACAGATAATAAAGTCAGAAAACTCTATGCATAGTTTTTGGCTGATGTTTTTATTCCTCCCTCTGATTTTCTCTAACACCAGAGCGTGACAGATGTCTCTTCACTCTGCCTGTACCCCTGATGTGATGCCATCAGTACAATGTTAAACCAGGGTCATTCCTCCATGTATTCCCCAAACCAAGGGTATGTCCTCCTGGAGCTCCTTAACCGGAACAAAATTAGCTGTAAAATAGCACCTTTCCTCATGTAGGGTTATTTAAAAATAATATTTTATACATCTATACATTTAAACAGCCTCAAAACAGCAAGAGTGAAAGGCATCACAGATCCTTTTTAACAGCAAGAAGGACTTAACTGGCCTTTATATGGGAAACATCAAAAAAACAAGTCACAGGAAGAAATGTGGTTTTAAGATAAGCTGCAGGAAACCAGGGTAAGGAGTTGTGCATTACAGGACAACCATAGGAGATGCTGGGTTTTCATCATCCAGGATGTTGCATCCAACGTATACTCCATGCCAGGCCAAATAACAAAGTCATGTTGGCTGCTGGCCCTGTTATCCAAAGCACTCAGGAAAAAAGTAAGGTAGGCTGGGGAAATTACCCTCTGCACCTTCCAAACACCTTCTGATTAATTCTGACTGCCTGGTTTTCTCAAGTCAATAGTGAAAAGCCAATGCTGTGCCAATTTAAAAGTTCAACAAGAATGAAGGGAGCGAGTGTGGAAATCAGGAACTTTGTAGGAAAAGAAAAAGTAAGACTTTATTAAGGAAAATAAATATTTTCACTAGTTACTGTCCAGACAAAAGCAATTCTATGGAACATGCATTTATTTTGCTCTGTGATAAAAATGGCCAACTCCAAGCAAGAATGTTATTTCCCAGCATTATCTTTAGAGCCCTCAGAAGTAGGGCTGACTGACCAATGATTTGTCAAACCAAACTTCAAAACAATAAAGCAAATTTTCTAAACAGAAGACATGCTTCAGACCCTATTTTTCCTTCACCACTCAGCAGAAGAACTCCAAGACACCTCAGAATTGTACAAGTGAATACAGCACTCTGTGTGACAGAGCTCAGTAGGCATCACATGGAAAATGTTCCTCAAGTTCTCAAAAAACAGCAACTCAGTGCTATCAGCAATTCACTGTTCTAACAGTAACTAAATCTAGCTTTTAAATTCAATTTAAAACAGAAATACTTCTGGTTAGAGCTTCCCAGAAACAGGTCACCTCAGGTTTCAGAGGATTTCATGGTCCCTTCCCTCCTCAAGAACAGCAGGTGAAGAGATACCAGGGAGTGATGGGAAGAGTGTAGGATCCAGGACCTCCAACCAAGGTCCCACCAACCACTCCAAATCTCTTCCCCAGCTCACTGCACCCACCAAGGGGCCCTGCCCAAAATGCCACACAGATCAAGTCAGGTGAGGTGTATCAGATGGGTCCAATGTGTCAGATCAAAGCTGTCATCAGTCTGACCTGGAACTGCATTGGGATAACTCCAGTCCCTGGTGGATGTGGACTAGAACAGATCTTAAAAAAAAACAAACCCAGCACTGCTTCAATTCCCTGTCCAGATGATTGCACAGGGATCCCATATGGCCTTTGTGAAAGCACACAAACACTTATTAATTTTATTCCCCTTCCACCTGCTTTTATCACAATGTCACATGGCTCCCAAAGGCGACTGCAGTCCAGACTCTGAACAGGATCTTACACATCCCATTTTGTCTGCTCATTCCCCTTCCTGTGCTTCTATCAGAGGCAAGAGCATCAGCTTCCATGATGACCTTTGAACTACAGAGAAGAAAAATTAAGACATTACTTAAAATATTTTTAACGATAATCTCTTACCCTCAGGAAACTCCAGAAGCAACCTGTAATTACAAATATCTCATCTGATGGGGCCTAGCCTTGGTAGAATTTCCTGCACCTGGCACATCACATTCAAGATTACGGCAGATATTACCACTAGAAACTGCCCACAACATCTGGAGTTTAGATCCCAAGTTCCCCTCCTCTCTACAAGCAGCTTCAAACCTAATTACATGTTTCCAGTAAATGTCCCTAAATCCCCAAGACATGAGATGCAGATTCGTAAAGAAAATTCTCCGACAACTGACCCAGGCAAAGGCCTACATAAATAAAACTGCACAGCGACAGAAAAACCTGCTAAGATATAAAATAAGTAATGGCAGATGGGATGGAAAAGAATATTTTCATTTGAAGTACAGCCAAAAACATTAAAGACATAAAAGGGGAAATGCAAAGAGAAGACCTCTGTGAGTTTCTGCTTTCTGGAACTGCATAACAAGTCACTGTAATGACATCAGAGAACTCTGGACTTCTCCCTTCCCGGCTACAAATGAGCAATCGTTCTGTACATTCACTTTTCTACAGATTGTTCCTTAAAAGTCGAAAAGGTTCCAGAATCCCTGACACCGAACACAACTTTAGTAAGACCCAGATGAAACCAAGGAAGGACTGTGAAGTTCTCTGTGACCAAAGCAGAAGCAGGACTTTTAAAACAGTTCCTGACAGACATATAAAGAAATATTCTCAGAGAGAAGAGGAAGTCCCAAAGTCAGGAGGGGAAAATGTGGGGTGCTGGTGGAGCTCTGGTTTGAGCTTTTCTGTCACTGGTCTGAGATACTGCCTGTCATTGCAACAACTGAACTGCTTACTTGCATCATTCATTGGTCAGAAGCCATCACCACAAAAATACCAGTTAATGAATGCAGACTTGTGTCACAAAACAGAAAAAAAGGTTCCTTAGTGATGCTTTGGTAACAGGTAACCAAATGCCACTGGGTTGTTTGCTCAACCATTCGCCCAACAAAGTTTAGATGATGGCACTGAAGTATATTAAAAAGAGAAACAAATAAAGAGCCCCAGTCTTCCACTGAGAAACTCTATTCTCATTTACAAAACCCTTGAGCAGATTATGAAAGAGGAGATGGCAGCTGCTAATTCAACTTGGGCCTAGAGGACTCGTTCTGTTTGCACCCCTGTGTACCACAAACCTTCAATTTTCTCCTTTCAGTACTTGCACAAGAAGATGAAAAACTTGCACCCAGAGGAAAAAGACACTTAAATTTTACTGAATTTGGCCCTACAACATACTGGCACTGAAAACACTTCACCATTAATGAAAGAGGCAGAAAAAGGCTTTAAAAAGGCACATTTCAGTGCAATGTAGATACAAGATAAGTGGAAATAGGAGGAGTTGCTAGGACATAAGAAATTTTAACATATGCTAAAACAATCTTATTCATGTTCTCCCAATTAAAAAAACAATGTATCACCAATGCATTAAAACCTCATAATTAATGTCACTAATTAGAATTAAGTATTCTATGCAGAAAAAAAATGGTAACCCTTTTTATTGGCTACCATCACTTTATTAAAAACATTTAAGCAATCTT